TATACCTATATCTAAGTCTTTACACATTTTTGAGGTTTTGCCTTTTTCTTGCTGAGTTCCTGAAGCCTCTTTATCCAATTTGCCTTGCTATCGATTGAATCTCACTAAGCATGCATAACTCAAGAGATAAGTTGATGAGCTACTTCATAAGTGGTTCATACAAAAAATCTTTAATCCTTTGTGTAGTACATGCCCTTCTCCCCTGAAAAAGGATGGTAGCTATGGAGCCATCAAGAAAATCACTATCAAATGCCGATTTTGCATCTCTTGGTTAGATGATATGTTAGACCTTTTGATTGATTCTAAGTGGTTTACCATGATTGATCTCAGGAATGGTTACCACCAAATTAGAATCTGACCTAGCGATAAGTGAAAAATTACCTTCAAGACTATAAAATGGCCTCTACGAGTGGCTAATTATATCATTTAGTCTCACCAATGCCCCTTCCATACTCATTAGAGTCATAACCCAAGTTTTTCGACTTTATCTTGGGGAGTTTTTTATTCTTAACTTTAATGATATTCTTATATTTTAGTAAAACTCAAGAGGAACACCTACAAAACCTTAAATTAACTTTGAAAGTCTTTCGAAAGGAAAAGCTCTATTTAAATCTCAAAAAATATTCATTCCTTACCAACAAATGTCATCCTTCTTATATCCATAGTATTTGTTGAAAGATTTAGAGCTAACCCAAAAATATGAAAGTCATTCGACTGAACCTACCACCCTCATTGAAATCCATGGCTTAGTGACTTTTTTATTATAGGTTCATATGTAATTTCAGTACTGTCATAACTCCCATCACAGATTATATTAGGGAATGCGAGTTTACATGTACCAAACCTACTAGCAAGATCTTTCGGGACATCAAGACTCGAATGACCAAAGCCTCAGTACTTAGATTATCATATTTCTCTAAAATGTTTAAATAGCATGTGATGCGTTGAGGATTAGTATCGATGAAACTTTGAGTCAGGAGGGACATCCAATGACCTTCTTCAACGAAAAGCTAAATGAAGCTAAAAGGAGATACTCTACTTATGATAAAGAATTTTATGTCACTGTATATGCCCTTAGGTATTGAAAACACTATCTTCTATATCATGAGTTTGTTTGGTATAATTGATGAGGGTGATAATTACGATAAGACTTGCGTGACACCCGCTGACGTCCCGCGTCCCTGCTGGGCTGACAACGCGTGGCTGACATGGGTCGTAACACCAACCGAGGCCCATTAACGACCGCTCAGGCTCGACTCCGCACGTCATGCCAATAGCGATGTCAGATGTCATCGGAAGGTACGATCTTACCCCCTGCGAGCAGGCACATCAGGTAACACCGAACTCCCCTATAAATACCCTTGCATTCTAAACGGAAAGGAGGGGAGAAAAATAAACAACTCCCACGATCATCGACTAACTTAATCATCAGAGGGGTCGGGTCGAGCATCTCGACCCGACCTGCGTGCAGCGACGAAGGCGAGGCGCCACTCTCCGGGCGCGTTGGCAAGGAGCCCCTTCCTGAAGGAAACGGCGACCCGTCATCCGGACCCGAACCAAGCCGCGTCGGCCCCGAGGCCACGGCTAAAAAGTTGTTTACACCAATATTATGGCGCTAGAAGGAGAGCCGATGTCAAGGGATCGCCAGGCCGACTCGGCCGAACCCGCAGTCGAGGGGGCGCATCCGGTCGGGGCTCCAGGGGAACATTCCCCGCGGTCGGGTCTCCGTAGCAAACACCCCACCACAACTTCAGAGCGTTATTGGCGGATCTTCAACGACTAGGGTTTGTTGCCACCCGACGCCCCCTCCGTCGAACCATCGCCCGTCTTGTCTGAGGCCTTTCTCGACCTCACCCATCAGGTCCAAGTTCTAACTGGTATGGTACAATCCATCATTCCACTCGTCTCTAGAACGCTGCACCCGCCGGCCGCCAAACCGGTGCGACAGCAGGAGCCGCGCCTGCTCAGGCTCAGGCTCGACCCCTGGAGCTTCCCACTTCGCCTCGGGTCCCGTCGTCCCCACTTAGGGATCGAGTGACGGCGGACCGGAGAGGCCACGCCCAACCCGATGTCTTTCCTTCGGCCTCGACGGACGCCCTGCGAGCCCAGTTGCTCCTCGTCAGTCAACGACTTGACGAGGTACAGAAGGAGGTCTGCAGGTCGAGGAGAGCTCGGAGAGGACGTACATCAGGGATCCCCATTCGTCCCCGAAATACGGGATCAGACAGTCCCACAGAACTTTCGTCTCCCCTCTCTGGACATATACGATGACTCCACCGACCCAGCGGACCATGTAGCCACCTTCCGCACCCAAATGACACTATATGGAACTTCAGACACTCTGATGTGCAGGGCGTTCCCCACAACACTAAGGGGACCAGCCCCCACGTGGTACGGTGGCCTGAGGACCGGGACGGTCGCCTCATTCGACCAGCTCGCTAGAGACTTCAAGCTCAACTTCTTATCCAGAGCACGGTCGAAACCGTCCATTGCCTTGCTTCTCGGACTACACCAGAGGAGGACGAGTCCCTCTCCCACTTTGTGAACCATTTTGCCATGCAGATCCGGGGATTATTCGATGCTCACCCCTCTCTGTTGATGCAAGCGTTCATGGCGGGACTGCGACCTTCCCGATTCTTCAGCGCGGTACCTGAGATGCTTCAGCGGGCGAACCAGTTCGTCGCGGCGGATGCTTGGATGGTCGAAAAGCAGGAAAAGCACACAAGGGTTAGACCGGAGCTGGCTCGCGGGCAGTAGCCTGCCGCGACTAGGCGCAGGCTGGACCAATCTGACCTGCCCACTCCGAGGCCTCCTCTGCCCCCCCTAGGCGCATCTCGAACGAAGATATTTCTCCAGATAAAAGAGAGAGGGTTGCTCAGGGCTCCCGTTCCGATGAAAAACCCGCGAGAGCTCGCCGACCAGTTCAAGCATTGCCGCTTTCACAGGCAAAACAGGCACGACACCGAAGACTGCCGCGAACTGAAACAGCAGATCGAGGAGCTTGTCCACGGGGGTCACCTCAGTCGGTACGTCCGACATAACGAGGAGCCCTCGCCTCTCCCGGAGGGCTCCGTGAAGCACCACATCTATGTCATCACTGGAGGACCGGCGACTGGGGGAACCAGTATGTCCGGGAGAAAGGCATACGCCTGTTCCGCCAGGATTGACGCTCCCCAACGTGGTCCCGACCCCAAGGTCGCATTCCCTCCCGAGGACGTCAACCCACTGGAGCACGACGACGCGCTTTTGATAATGGCTCGAATCGCTAACTCCCAGGTGAGGAGAATCATGATCGACACCGGGAGCTCAGCCGACGTGCTCTATCTGGATGCCTTCCAGAAGTTGGGGTTAACCAAAGAATCCCTGAAGCCTATCTGCTCGGCACTCACGGGGTTCACCGGCGATTCGGTCTCACCATTGGGGACTGTTACCTTACCCCTCACCTTGGGAGCGCCGCCCAGAACAAAGACGGTGATGTCCACCTTCTTGGTGGTAGATCTTCCTACTGCTTACAATGCCATCCTCGACCGCCCCACCCTCAACAAAATCAGAGTTGTAGTCTCCACCTATCATCAAACAGTGAAGTTTCCTACCCTCGCCGGGACAGGGGAAGTTTGGGGAAGCCCCCGAGAGTCCAGACGATGCTACTTGATGGCGGTCTCGCTGCACAAAAGGGCGAGGACCGACCAACCTCTAGAAGACCCGAGAGAAGAGAAGCAGCCGACACCACACCCGGAGCCGATGGCACCCACATGCGACGTGTCGTTGATAGAGGATCATCCGGATCGGACGGTGCAGGTCGGGTCGGAACTCCCCGGGCAAGAACGAGAGCAGCTCGTCGGTTTCTTACAAGAGAACGCCGATGTCTTCACCTGGTCGCCATCCGACATGACCGGCGTCGACCCAGAGACCACCCAGCATCACCTGAAAGTATCACCTGACGCCCGGCCAGTAAAACAGAAACCACGACGCCAAGCCCCCGATAGGCAACTCGCCGTCCGCGAAGAGGTGGAGCGACTCTTAGCGGCTGGCTTCATCGAGGAAGTCAAGTACCCACGATGGCTGTCTAATGTAGTGCTGGTAAAGAAATCTAATTGGAACTGGAGGATGTGCGTTGACTATACGAGTCTCAATCGGGCATGCCCGAAAGACTGCTATCCCCTCCCAATAATCGATCAGCTGGTCGACGCAATTGCCAGGCATGCCCGCCTGTCATTCATGGATGCCTTCTCCGGCTACAACCAGATCAGAATGGCGCCCGAGTACTAAGAACACACGGCTTTCATCACCGATCTGGGGGTGTATTTCTACAAAGTCATGTCGTTTGGGCTCAAAAACGCAGGCGCCACCTACCAGAGGGTCGTGAACAAGATGTTTGCCGCTCAAATCGGGCGGAACGTCGAAGTCTATGTCGACGACATGATCATGAAAAGTCGCATGGCGACAGACCACCTGACCGACTTGGCCGAGACATTCTCCACGCTCCGGAGTTATAGCTTGCGGCTAAACCCGGCAAAGTGCGTTTTCGGCGTCAGTTCGGGAAGGTTCCTCGGATTCATCGTGCATGAAAGAGGAATCGACGTGAATCCAAAAAAGGTTCAGGCGGTCATCAACATGCAGGCCCCTCGAACAATCAAGGACTTGCAGCGACTAAACGGACGGCTTACTGCCTTATCCCGGTTTCTATCTCGGTCTGGTGATCGTTGCCTCCCCTTCTTCCGGGCGTTAAAGAATCCCAAGGACTTCCGGTGGACGGCGCAGTGTGAAGAGGCTTTTGGACAAGTCAAGCGGCACCTGGCCAACCTCCCCCGCCTTGCTTTGGTTACTCTCGAGGAAAAGCTCAGCGTTTACTTGGCCACCTCCCAACACGCGGTCAGCTCCGTCCTAACCAAAGAAGCTTCCGGGGAACAACTACCGGTCTACTACATCAACCACGTCCTGAACGGACCCAAGGAGCGGTATCCGCCACTCGAAAAGCTCGCTTTGGCGCTCGTGCTGGCATCTCGGAAACTACGCCCTTACTTATAGGCTCACCCGATTAAGGTAATCACTGACCAGCCGCTACGGCAGGTTTTGTCTAAGTTTGATGTCGCAGGACGGCTCGTCAAGTGGTCGGTAGAGCTTGGAGAATTCGACATACGTTATGTTCCGAGGACTGCTATCAAAGCCCAGTCCGTGGCCGACTTCATCGCGGAACTGGTTGAAGACGGGAATGGAAGCCCCGAGCAGTCAGAGGGGGCATGGGACCTGCACGTGGATGGCTCGGCTACCTCCAGCAGCGCCGGCACAGGGTTGGTACTCTCGGCCCCCGACGGACACTCGTTCGAACGCTCCTTCTGCTTCGGGTTCCGGGCAACCAACAATGAAGCCGAATACGAGGCGCTCCTAGCAGGACTCAAGCTGGCCCTTGAAATGCAGGTGGACGCCATCCACGTCTTCACTGACTCGCAGCTCGTCGCCGAGCAACTTAGCGGTGGGTACGAAGCCACGGAACCGACCATGGCAAGGTACTTGGCAGAGGTAAAAAGCCTAGCCTCCAACTTCTCCCACTTCACGTTATCCAGGGTGCCAAGGAGTCAAAATGAACGAGCCGACGAGTTGGCGAAGATGGCTTCAGGACCAGACCACGGAAACTACTCCGAGGTTAAAGATCTCCCATTCCGCGCCATCTCAGTTTCGGCTGTAACTCCGGCCGAAGCGCGCGCCACGTGGGTACAGGAGATGTTGCTCTTCAAATGCAATGGGATTCTTCCCGACGACGAAGCCGCAGTGCGCCGCATTCACCGAACGCAAGCATGGTTTTCCGAGGTGAACGGACGACTCTACAAACAATCCTTCTCACAGCCCCTACTGCGATGCCTCGAGCCTGACGAAGCGAAGGCAGTCCTCGCCGAGGTCCACAAGGGGATCTGCGGGGAGCATATTGTTGCTCGGACCTTGGCCTACAAAATCCTTCGTCAAGGATACTACTGGCCCACCATGTCCCGAGACGCCAGAATCTATGTGCGATGGTGTGTGCCCTGCCAGAGGCACGCCCGAACGCCCAGGCAGCCGACAGTCCCCTTGTCCCCCATCGACTGTGCGTGGTCGTTCGCGCAATGGGGATTGGACCTCTTCAGCCCTTTTCCACCGGCGTCGGGACAATGACGATACATCGTCGTGGGCGTGGATTACTTCACCAAATGGATCGAAGCCGAGCCACTAGCAATGATCACGGAGCGGCAAGTGGAGAAATTCATTTGGAAAAACATCGTGACTCGATTTGGCTTGCCTGAAGCCATCATCACGGACAACGGATCCCAGTTCACCAGTGCTCGGTTCCAGGAGTTCTGTGCGAACTACGGGATTCAGTTGAGGTTCAGCTCTGTGGCCCATCCCCAGATGAACGGGTTAGCCGAAGTCACTAACCGATCTATTCTAAATGGACTCAAGAGGAGAGTGTCAGCGGCCCAATCAGCTTGGGTGGACGAGCTCCCCAGTATCTTGTGTTCCTTGCGGACCACCCCCAAGGCCGCGACCGGAGAATCCCCTTACAGCCTCTAATTTGGGACCGAGGCTATCTTGCCTCCCGAGATGGTTTTCCCTACCCCGAGGACGGCAAGCTATGACGAACGAGTATCGGCCCAGAGACTGCGAGCCGATCTCGATCTGCTCGAGGAGCGGCGCGCTAATGCGCACCTGAAAGACCTCTCCTATAAAAGGGTCGTCGCTAGAATCTATAACCGCAAGGTGCAGCCTCGGCCAATTAAGCTGGGTGACCTGGTCTTACGCAGGGCCAAGGTTAGCGACCCGACCCGAGCACGTGGGAAGTTAGCTCCCAATTGGGAAGGCCCTTATCGGGTGATCGAAATTGTTAGGGTCGGTACGTACCGACTCACGACGATGCAGGGCCACACTTTGCCAAGGACTTGGAACTCGCAAAACCTCAAAAAGTTTTTCCCGTAATACGATGAGCTGGGATGCAACAAAAGCGGGAGTTATGTTAACAAAAGCTAGACGGCTAGGGCCTCGACAGCCCCCCGCGCTTCAGCACGCGACTCTTCCAGCCGACGGATCAGCTCGATTGACACCCCCCTTGCCGAACGAGCCTCGGCCATCGACACCTTCAGATGCATATGAAGCTCCTTATTCCGCTCCTCGGATGCCTTGAGCTCGGACCGGAGGCGCGTCGCCTCTGCGTCCAAATCCGAGGCGCGCTGCTCGGCTGCCGCGACCACCTCAAGAGCCGCCCGACGCGGACCTCCTCCACCTGCTTCCGGAGGTCAGCATTGCAGTCACTCAAGATGTCGATGACCCGCCCCGCGTCGCGAATGCGGTCCATCAGCACCGCGGCATAGTGAGTGCCCTGCAGACAAACGAGTTAAAACAAGAGCTATCCGAACACACGCAACCGAACTAGCGGAATGACACTTGCCCACAGCAGCGACTTAGCAGACCTGACAAGAAGAACCTCCGAGGGCAGAGTATATAGATCCCGAGCTATGTCGGGATGGAGCCCTCCGCGAACAAACCCGGCCGCGGAATCCCCGTCGGCCCACACTCGGCTGCCCCGGGAAAGGCCTTCCCAGCGAGCCGTCAGCGGGTCGGAGGGCTCGCCCGGAGGAAGATCACCCATCGCCCGCGCCTGGTAGGGCTCGTCCTCCCCCCGGGCTTGAAGGCGACAAAGCTTGCGGATGGAGGGCTCTCGAGGGGCCTTCCCCGCCGTCTCCCTACTCGTGCCGGCTTCACCCCGCCCGAGGCTTTTCCTGGCACGTTCGGCTGGTGTAACGACAGCCCCCGCTGGCTGAGCCGCTGACTCCCTAGAGGCTTTTGCCGAGGAGGTCTTCGCCTTCTTCCGAGGGCAATCGGCCTCAACATCCACTGGGGCCTCTCTCGAGCCAGCCCTCGCCTCGGCCGGCGAACGAGTGGACGGGGCCGTCGAGGTCTTCCCCCCACGAAGGTCTCGGAGAACCACCATCTCTGCGCAAAAGCACCAACATTGGTCAGCTGACTAGTTAATCCCTAACAGAAACCCTAAAGCTACCCCTTAGGGCATACCTCGAGGCATCGGGCTAAGACCCGCCTCGACCAACCACTGCTCGGACATACTCCGGATGGCTCTTGAGGCTGGAAGGATTTCTTTAACCTCCAGAGCTCTCGGCGCTCCCATCGTCCAGACCCAGGGCGGTGTTGTCTATCACGCGCGCCGCCCATCGAAGCCCGAACCCCTAGTCCTTCGAGCGACTAACGAAAAAGAAGCACCTCTTCCATCCCTTATTACTAGAAGGAGCCCCGCTCACTCGGAAGCCTGCTCGGGCGGACAGATAGTAGCCCCCCGACCTCTTGGAAAGCCGGAAACAAGAAAGGAAGAGGGATCGGGTCGGGGTGATGTTAGCGTAGTGGCACTCCCCCAGGAACGCCACCAGATAGCGCCAAGAGTTAGGCGCCATCCGAGACGGGGAGATACGCCACCATGAGATACATGAAGTTATGATGGGGTGCAAGGGGAGGCGTAACCCGGCCTCAAAAGCATCAAGGGTAAGGGCGAAACCCCTGGGAATCGGATCGTACGCCCGTTGGCCGGGCTCGGGAGCATAGAGGGCAAACTCCTCCGGGATGCCGTAGAGGTCCCGGAGGTGACTGAGCGTCAACTCGCTCACGGTGGAGTCGAGGTCGTGTGGCCACATCAGGGCCTCAAGGGCCCGGGCTGCCTTTTCGTCGGAAGACGAGTTGGGGTTCGACACAACCGTCGTTTGCTAGTCTTTAGCCAAGGAAGAGGGTGAAGAGGAAGGGGAAGAAGGCACCATCCTTACCGACCGTTTGGAAAAGAAGAAGAGCGATCGGCGCAAACGAAATGATGGAGTACGAAGCGGCAGAATAGAAACAAGTGAGGAGACTTTCGAGGGGCTAGCCGCACATTATTTATAGACAAAATCCCGCCAAAAACATCGACCCTTTCTCTTCTCAGGCACGTCGCATCGGGATGACGCAAACATCATTCCGCCATAAATATAGCTTGACAGAACGACCAACAGGCGCGTTACGCGTGGCAAACAACGGCTTGAGTCCCCGGTCTTCTTGAAAACTGGCGATTCACGAAAAGGTTCGTCCCTTGGACTTCTGAACATACCAAAAGTTACTTGGCCACCCGCACCTCCCGCAACACAGCGTAACAGATCCAATCGAAGTAGCTCCTCGGCGGCAGCTGCCTATGTCGTGCTCTTCGGCCTCGTGTCGCCTGAAACCACGCCTGCGTGGCCTGCTTGCCCGAGTTTAGCTCCTCGACAGCAGCCGCCTGTGTCGTGCTCTTCGGCCTCATGTCGCCCGAAACCACGCCTGCGCTGCTCGCCCGAGTTCGGCTCCTCGACAGCAGCCGCCTGTGTCGTGCTCTTCGGCCTCGTATCACCCAAAACCACGCCTGCGCGACCCGCTCGCCCGAGTTCAGCTCCTCGGCCCACCCACCTGAGTCGTGCTCCTCGGCTGCACGTTATCCAAGGTCATGCCTACACAGCCAGCTCGCCCGAGGGGGCCACCACCCCTACGGTCGAGCCCAATCTGACCTACGAGTCATTCTTCGAGGTTTCTCGGCCACTCACTACCCAGCACCGTAACGACACACCCGACCTTCCTCGATTGCTAAGCGCCACGATCTCCACGCCCAGAGCGACGAACTGGCCTTCGATCGACGGAGAAAGTTCTTTAAAACTGAAGCCATGCCTCATACCCCTCCTTTTCGGCAACTGACGCATAGCTTCCTTTGGGGGGGAGTATGATGAGGGTGATAATTACGATAAGACTTGCGTGACACTCGCTGACGTCTCGCGTCCCTGCTGGGCTGACAGCGCGTGGCTAACACGGGTCGTAACGCCAACCGAGGCCCATTAACGATCGCTCAGGCTCAACTCCGCACGCCACGCCAATAGCGATATCAGACGTCATCAGAAGGTACGACCCTACCCCCTGCGAGCAGGCACATCAGGTAACACCGAACTCCCCTATAAATACCCTTGCATTCTAAACGGAAAGAGGGAGAAAAAACAAACAACTCCCATGATCATCGACTAACTTAATCATCAGAGGGGTCGGGTCGAGCATCCCGACCCGACCTGCGTGCAGGGACGAAGGCGAGGTGCCTCTCTCCGGGCGCATTGGCAAGGAGCCCCTTCCTGAAGGAAACGACGACCCGTCCTCCGGCCCCGAACCAAGCCGCGTCGACCCCGAGGCCACGACTAAAAAATTATTTACACCAACATATATATATATGTATATATATATATATATATACATATTATATATATATATACATATATATATATACATATATATATATATAC